GAGAAAGAAAGAAAGAAAGAAAGAAAGAAAGAAAGAAAGAAAGAAAGAAAGAAAGAAAGAAAGAAAGAAAGAAAGAAAGAAAGAGAAAGATATCGATGTTAGAGACACATCTATCGGTTGCCTCTCGCACGCTCCCCAACCAGGGCTGGAGATCAAACCACAACTGAGGTAGGTGCCCGTGACCCTGATCTGGAATCGAACCCACGGCCAATGCTCTAACCACAGAGCAAAACTAGCCAGTGCTGCATTTTTAATAAGCACTCCAGATGATTATAATGTAAGGAGCTGACTTTTTAAGAGGTCTGTTATACAATGTTGCAATAATTTTATAGACTGAATTTGGAGAATGATCCCTTTCCTATTTCTCTAGAAATACATTGTTGCCAATTTTATGCAGTCAGAAGAAAAATACTGTGTTTATATACATATGTATATAAATACATATACTTTGTAAGACTAAAATATATATACACACAAACATATCACATATATACACTAAATATATAATACAAATATGTGTATACACTAAAAGTATATATTTTTATATATGTATGTATATGTAGTGTTAAATGAGGATATAGCCCAGTTCCCCTCCCCAGTCAGTAGAAAGGTGTCTGCCTGGCCAGCGGCCACAAGGAGCAGAGAAGCCCAGATCCCAGGGTTTCCCACGTCTTTGCTGGCTAACAAGCTTCACCAGACCCTCTGTTTGGCCTTGGCAAGCAGGCTGGTCCCAGCAGGGCTCCCTCCCCCTCTCCTCTGCTAGCTCCTAGATAATCCCTTGCTTCACCCAGGCTGGGTACAGAAACTCACCCTACAGGCCGCGGCCAGGTCATTTCCAGATGTAAGTAATAAAAGCTGTCTTTCCTCTCTGGTCGCCTGCTGTGTTTTTTTCAGTCTAGCAAAGTACAGTGTGGCTCTCCCGGGGTTGGAACTCCTACAGTACAATATATTTATAAATGTTATATATTAATCTCACAAAGAATTTTTACATGTTTCAGCAGGGGAAGGGATAGAGATTGTTCATTTAGATCTATTTCCTGCATCACTTTGTACAATTTACATATGCCCTGGAGACTTCTGAACCAGTAAGGCAGGCCTGCCTGGAGCCTTCAGGGAGGGATCATGTTGCAAGAAAAAGGAGACAAAACCTTAGATTTAGAGCAGAAACTCTGACTACAGCATCTTTTACTCAAGCTTCTATCCCAGTTCAGCTCTCAAACTGAACTCATCATGTCTGACTCCTATGGAGAAGAGGGATTCGGGGATTGAAAACAGAAGGGGCTGTTTTGCTATGAACTCTGCAAAACATTGTGACCCAAGCATTCCTGGAACAACCCCCACCTGTGTTAAGTGTCACTGTAAAGTAGAGACAGAGGCTTCAGAAAACAGAATGGGGAGTTCAACTCCCTGGAGACTCCAGTTAACTCAGTGGAGACTTGGCACCCAACTCCAGAGCCCCATCAGCAGTGGGGCCAGCAAGAGAGCAAAGGACCCAACAGACATGGCAGGACCCAAGGGAGGGAACAGGGTGGAGCTCACCAGCAGAGGACTGAAATGGAAGCCCCCACCTCCTTGCCTATTGGACTTATTCCTAAACACAGGTTGAGTCATGCCAGGGCCCTCCCTCAAATGACTGTTCTGTAGTGGGTTGGGATCCTGAATGCAGAGGTGGGAACATTGGCCCACCAAGCACAGCTGAGTCCCCTTCTTTCTTCCCCATAGCTACTCTGTGAGGCCAATGTTTTCTCCATGAAAGACCAAGTCTTAAGCAAGTATGTCTGTAATAATTGCCAATTTTATTCCTCTAGCTAAGAGATCAAGAGGTGATTTAAAGTTCTAAGAGTGTATTAAGTGTTTCACTGCCCTTCGAAGGTGATTGACAAGTTCTTTTATTGTGTCTGTTCATTTTAGCTTTTTGTGACACAAGTAAAAGACACATACACACACATATATGTACTTTGTTTTGTTTTGTTTTTTTTGGAAAATGAGAAGATCCAGATAGGTAAAAAAATAAATAGGTACAGATCACACAGAGAGTCACTGTTAATGTTTTGGTGTATAATAATTCAGACTTTTTTTGCATTATATCATATATAAATGTTCATTATATATGTATTGTATAATGTTTTGCAAAGTATTGTTTTTACTTTACAATATTCAATGAGCATCTCCTCATGCAAATGAATGAAACATTCTATTGAATGAGATTGGGTCAAAAGATGAGATGTTGGTAATAAGTCATATGTAAATTAAAGGAACATTGAATTGGAGTAAAATGATAATAAATATTTAGTAAGAAAATGCAGACCAAAAGAACCCAGTGGTGGCGATATTAATAACAGAAAATAGTTGAATTCAGGGGAGAAATGCATCAAATGTGATAAGGACGGTCCCGGGAATGCCTACGGTTAGAATGCAGAGCCCTAAACTTCTTTCTCAGACCCCTTATCTCCTTCAAGCAGCTTTCCATCTCATCTCCCTCTCTTGCCATTTCTTCATTATTAAAATGCCTATAATCTATGTCCTCTTTAAATTCCTCGAGAGACTGAAGCAGCCTTTGCCTAAAATTCCCTTCAGTTTGCTGGCGTTCAAATTCTCCATAGGGGCGTTTTTCTTCTCTCTTTGGCATGCTGCACTTGAGTTTCCCTTGATTTTCTTTGCAGGGTTTTTGCATGATGTAGTTGTTTCCTGCTTAAGTCCAGAGAAAAAATGTAGAGTAAGATTGCTTGTCAGTTTCTCTTTGAAGCAAG